GATTACCGTAGATAATTGCATTAATGAGAAATTGAACAGGTGTTCCTAATAATCCTTTAGGTGAGTGTATGTGTCCTGTTAGTAAATTTGAAAACCTGAATAGTGTCTTTTTCTGTTCCCTGCCAAAATGACATTACGTTAGTTTACCCTGGCAATGTTATGTTGTCCCCTTCCCACAAAAAGGAACTTCTAAAATAAAAAAAACACTTTGGTCTGTTGAGAAGAACGTGTCACATTGTTCTGTGTATTTATAGATACCTACACATGTTAGTGTGTTACTGATTGTGATCTTGATCATTTTTTCAAAAAGAAATGACAAATCACTGCATGTAGTAGCTATATTTCAATAAAATAAACAGCTGAAAATACTAAAGTCACATTGTGAGAGGAAGGAGCTCAGGTGGTTGGGTAATAACAGTAAGGTGTGTGCGAGAGGTTTTAAGCCATTTGTCCTGAATTTTGGCCACTTTTGAGTAAAAATATTTGGCAAACTGAAAATTATGTGCTGTATATGTACACAGTTATATTTCTTAATTGTAAAGCATTTTGTATTAAAATAATTTGGAGGACATTATCCTCTCTGTAGGAGCCCATTGCACAGAACACATTTCTGTAGAGCCTCCTTGCCATTGTCAGGTATAAGAGGGATTGAACTCAAATACCTAATATAGGATACATGCTTTTCTTTAGAAGAGACGTGAAAATCACCTCTGATGACAGCGAAAGCTCATGGAATATGTCTGATGCATGACTCAGTTGCTATGCTCGTCTGGAAATTGAATGAGTATGATTGGAGAAGCCTGACTTACACTTTTTCTTCTTGGTTGTAGTCAAGTAACCTAATCTTGAGTTTGAGTCTAGTATGACGTCACCAGTGACTGAGACCAAGTCTATATCTGAGGCTCCGTGAGCAAATCATTGACTGAGTCCAAGTCATTAAGTATAAAACTCACAGAAGTCCATTGATTTTCAGAAAATGACTGTTTTACAATCCAAATATGGTAGAGGTTAACAATTATACTAATAGGTAATTTCAAAAAACAATCTACTCACCACTTTTTTCCATTGCTCATGCAAGTAGTTTTTTAAGTAAAAAAATATATATATGAATAATTCTGCATCTTGTGAACAATTTAAATTTTTTTACTTGCCGTAGATGTTTATGGTCATATGCTGCTCAAAAATGTGGTGAGGATCCTGTTCACTTGCCTGTGCATACATTCCTAGAGTTGGGGACTCTTTATATCCGAAGAAATACTCTTGGGTGAACTGGGTAACCTTTAATTGACTCTTACAACAAACCTTAGGCAATGTAAATGGAGCAGGATGTGTCAAATAGAAAAAAGACCACATATGGCTCATATAGGTCATAGGAACAACAGGCTCGATGACCTGACAGATGAATGCTGAAATTTCTTTGGTACAATACCATTAATAGACACACAGTGTATTATTCAGTGTGCTATTCATCTTAAATGACTGAGTCCAAACCCAAGTCTGAGGGACAGGTATGTTAAATCAGAGTCTGTATCACAGAAATTGTGACTTGATTCTGACTCAAATCTGAGATTTGGTACTACAATATTGCTGGGTTGCGCAATTTTACGGATTCTAACAGCTGATTTTAAATATATCTGAAATAAATGAAATCACAGAGTGTGTCTTACTGCTTCCATACACACCCAAAGGGTAGTGGGGCGGTATAATGGAGTGATAAATCACGAAAATTGACCTACACACCCTACAAATAACTTAATACAAACTAATACAACATTATTAATGAAAGCCTGAACTATATCCGTGTTTTTCTTTTAAGAATAAGTTGTAGCCAAGTCAAGTGGACATACCCCCCCCCCTTCGTCCACAAGCGTTCTGTGGTCCGTAAGATCAGCTAATAACTCAAAATTAAAAAATCAGCTCAAAACAAGGTACGAAAATGCATCACTCAGTCAAAAAAACAGTGGGTTATTTCATTCACATTTTACAAAATAGTAATAATGTGTGTATGTCTCAAGAAGACATTCCACACTACATTGCACATTCTCTTTAAGTTTTCATCTCTCTTTTTAAGTCACATCAGTTTCCACTTCGTGCGTAGCTAGTGGCAGTTTCTCAGTACCTCAGCTGAGCCTCCCTAACCCTGCCCTGACACCCATTCGTCACCCATCTGCTCTTAGACTCTGGCCGTTACCAGCCCGGTGAGTCGCGGCTCATCTCCCCCCGCTGGGTGCAGACGCTCGACCGAGACTGACGCAGGCGGGCTTTGGGCTGCCTGCGGGCCGCGCAGCGAACTGCGTCACGGCCGTACGGACCTCGCAGAAAGTTCCTGTGATCGCAAAACGGGAAGTGAAGCCGCCGAGTGTGTAGTCGCGGCCGCTGCTGCTCTACGCCAGCTCGCTTTCTCTTTACAGATGGAGGTGGAAACTTTAAGGCAATGGTGCTACACACGCATTCCGTAACTCGGACCTTTCCGCCAGAGAGTGAATCCAAAGAGACCCGGGAGGTTCAGCCGAACATGTCGGAGTGGGATTTCCGAGCGCAGTACCTGTACCTTGTACCTGCTAAGATCATGTGCGACTTCGGCGCGGTCATGGATAGCCTGTCTGATTCGGACTGGGCGAGGTTCGGTAAGTACCCAGCTCGGAAGTGCTCAGAATCAGCCTGTTACCAGTTTACCCAGCATGAAACGTTTAATTAATGTTTGATTTAAAATACTCGGTGTCGGCAGCTGGGTAGTCTGCCTATATAAGGCGGAATGCTGACCGTGGCTGGCGCGCCGTGTGATTAATCACCATCGTTAAAAGCAATGAAAGATTTTTTAAGTCGTCATTAGAGACTTGACAACTGGGCTGTGGATCATTTTTGTGCTTGGTCTTATGTCATCTTTATCGTGTGGTTAAAAGTCGATACGATGGATGGTAACGAGACCAGCTAGATTAAGTGGTTAGGTTTTGATGGCCCTCTGTAGCTAACACAGTACATTGGAAGACGGTGAAAAATAATGTTATTGTCATTAGTCCGTGTTCACTTACAAATTCTTTACAATGGGATTAAGGTGGCTAAGCATAAGGAGCGATAAAGTGACCCACTTTGTGATTAAAGGATCCTTATTGATTGTTGTAGTGTTTCTATTTGTTTGGATTATCAGCATCATATTGCAATGAAAGGACTTACAGGGAAAGATATAAAGGTTTGTTAGAAATATTGCAATAAAATCTGCTATGTTCATTCCATTGAAAGCCTTTCATAAGTGGTTAAGAATCTAAATTAGTCTTGGTCTGATCCAGTGGCTTGTGTTTTTTTCACCTTTTAAGGTTTTAGTCTCCGTAGTGTGGTGTTTTGATACCATTTCATACCATATCAGATGTCATTCAACATATCTGTATACAGTTTTATACTGTACTGTGTATATATACTTATACTGGGCCAACGACATTTATATTGTCTTTATATTGTATACTGTTTGCATGTACACCAGATTTTACTGTGGGTTCACAAAACTCCTAGTGCCAAAATATTTGATAAGATAAATCTTGCTTAGGAATATGTGCTTGCATCAGTTTGTGTGCTTTTCTGTAACTTGGGTTTCAGGCTTCTAAACTGTCAGCTCTTTTTTGGGGTGACAGCAGTGGTCCGTGGTTAGCATTGTTGCTTTATAGCTCCACACTGTAAAAAATGTCCGTGAAATTAACTGAGAAATTCTGTAAAATAGCGACATAAAAAAAACTGTAAAAGGAAAAACAATAGAGCAGCGTATATTTGACATTAAGATTTTGTAAAATACTTAACAAAAAACAACTGTTAATTTTACAGTAAAAATATGTTCTTTAAAGAAAAATTTTTGGTAGAGTTAACAAATTACTGTAGTTTAAACG